AAAAGCCCACGGGAGAGAAGCAATTAGGTTTTTCAAATATTTCAAAATCGAAATACAAATTCCTTCTCTCTTCCTCTTGGATCACACATTTTAAGACAGACCATTTCTCCACAGAAACCAAACGCAGTCTGATCTGCACAGCTGGTAAATGTTTCCAAAACAAGAAAGCGAATGAAGGGTGACAATAAATGTAAAATCAGGAGTATCCTGTTGAACCATGAAAGCGTCCCTTTTAGCTTAAGAATGACATCCCAAACCACTTAAGTGACAATCTGCTGTGGTCTGCCTCTTCACACAAACAGTATTTTCATTTTAAAAGTTATGTATACACAGCAAGCCCGTGGAAAACTCAGCGACGTGTGTGGCTTTCAAGGGAAAATAGCAGGCTTCCATTTTCTCTTCAGAGGTTGTGCTGGAAGTAAAGTGTGTTGAATGATTCACTGGATTTTCATTCCAGTTGGAGGGCTGGCCCTTGCCAAAACTGGTGAAGTGTATCTTCCGTTTACTCCCACAGCACTTTGTGAGAAACAAACTCAAAATTCAGTTCTGTTTCCATTCCAGCAGGTAACAAAGGTAAGATGACTCAACAGGTCCTCTGGATCCCAAAACTGTGGAATTTTTTTTTTTTTCTAGGAAGAAGGGTACTGTGATAATGCGGTACCCACAGATAGGACTGAAGGCTTGGGTAAAAGGAGGTATGATTTCACTAAGCATTTAACACGTGCCAAGCACTGGGCCAGGCACTTCATACATGAGTCCTTAGTCATCTCAATGACATGAAGTGGACTGTGTAATACCTACTGTATCAATATACAAACTAAAGTTCTTAGAATGTAAGTAATTTATTCAGCTAGTCATTAGCAAAGCTGGGCGGGATTTATCTGCAAAGTCAGTTCTTGAGACTAAAACATTCTGCCCTCAAGGAACTAAAACATTAAACATTACTTGAGTGGGCATTATGAGACCTGGGTTGGATCCATGCAACTGACTTTTGAACTCTTAATTAAGTTCTCCACGAAATGCACAAAAGGCCATGAACTAAAACGGACATTGGCTGAGAGCACTAAGTTTGTGAGTTTTCCCCCACCATTTAAAGAGATAAACCTAAGGTAAAAACACATACTTTAGATATCGCCACAGGTGACTTCATTGAGATCTCTATGCTGGGCAAGGGAAATTATAACCTTAAAAGGCTACCAAACCATAATAAAAATGCCTCTACATGAAAAAGTAATTTCATTTTAAATCCACAAATCCCAGAAGCACGATGTTTCCTTTAGTCCATGAAAGCAGATGATAAAAAGAAGTAAAAGAGCTGATACACTGGAGACAGGACCTTGCTTTTCACCATTTCCAGGTATTTTAGAAATATAAATAGATCACATTAACTATCAGTGCAGAGGGAGCAAGTTCATTGCTATAAAGTCAGTCATGCGTCTGCACCCTCCTCCCAGTTGCTCACGGACACGAGTGTCTACACTGTACCATCAGAAGACAAGTGAAATTCACCCCATCCATTACAAGAGGAGGCATCTGACTAGATGTGCTCTGTTCTCCCAGTGATAAAGAGACAGCTTACAACAGTACTGGATGGGAGAGGAGGCAATCCGCCTCAGGTTCACTCAGCGTTGCAACATATCCTTGTGGGAGCATATTTCATCTGGCTGGCTTTCAGCAGAAAGACTTATTTGATCCACACTGGAGGCTGAGGTGAAGAGCGAGGAGAGAGACTCACCTTGGTCACTGATGCAGGACAGATGTGAAAGGGCTCACTCATATTCACTGTTTCTAGCTTCATCCCAACTGTGAAGAAATGGCTTCGCAAATCTGCGTGATCCTGTAGGAAAAAAGGAGACAAGAGACTGAAGGCGCTGGTTTTGTAAATTAACTTGGTAGCTGTCTGGATGCTGTCCTTGAACATTTTATTGGGCAGCTGAAATCGGATTGAAATAATGAACGCTTCCTGTTTCAAATTTCTAATTACTGCAAGATACTGCAGATTTAATTATCTTCTGCGTGCTAAATTGCTTTTCCAAGAGAGCGGAGGCAACCTTTGTGGCCATGCTTAAATTTACACGAAGCAGAAAATTCACATCGCACTGCTTTGATCTTCTTCGCCCAAGCACGGCAGAGTCATAGAGGCAACTAGTCATCTAAAACACAGCGGGAACATCTTCAGAAAACGTGGCCTCTTGCCACTGGAGTTACTTCACAGAGCTTGAGCGAGTACCTTGTGGGTGACACAGCTTGTCCGCACCTCCCGTATCTAAGAGCACACAGCTTATCAGTTATTGGTGGCAAGCTGGTGATCTTAGAGACGTATGCACACAAGACTCCAAAATAGCCCTACAAGACGATAAGAACTCCAAGTCCTGCTCAATAAAGATTAGCGACGACCCCTTCCCCCCAATTTAATAGGTGTCCAGTGGTTTTATAACCGGTTCACAGCAACCTTATGTGTGTGAGATGGAGCTTTCCTGCCTTCTCAAGAAAACAAATTTCAGTATCCACTTCAGCTCTATAGCAATAGATGAAGATAGCTGGACTCTAGATACCAGGATATATCTTGCTGAGATGGAGATCACCTGGTAACTCACAGTCTGTATAAATAGTAGTAGACAAATAAATGTATTTGCAGCCTGCCCCTGAGGACGACATAAGAGCTACAAACAAATCCTGCTATTTCTAAATACATCAATGGGGTAAGAAGTACAAAAATACCTGGGGATCTATTACTTTCTTTTGTCTGCAAATCTAGTGTGGATTTTAAATTAATGCCATGATGCCTTTCTACATCCAATTCTGAGGCTCGCGCAGAGCCCCGCATGGCTGTGCCTGCTCCCCCCACAAAAGCCAGTCAATGCAGTCGGTGTGTGTACGAAACAACACAACAGAAGAGGAATTGCTTATACACCTTTCCACCACTCCTGCTTTACCAAAGAAGGTACAGACTCTAACTGCCTAGAGAACCACAAAGATCCTCTCGGGTCTCATGTCGCCACAGCAGTCTGCAAAGGTCTCGGTATCCAGTAGATGCACAGTAAGTGTTGGGTCTGGCTTAAGCAAACAGTGCCCTGTCCAGGGACAGGGATGATCGAAACGAGAAGGGATGTGGTCAGCATGCAATGGCTAAGAGGACAAAAGCTTACCGAAAGAACTGGCATGTCCTGAACCTTTATCAATGAATTCCTTAAGAACTTATAATCAATGCTTTATAAATATTACATGCATAAGGAAAAGCACACGGAAATATTCATAGGTGCCAGAGATGATTTTCATTTCTTATACTGAAAATAAAGCATTTATTTTTAAAGGTGGCTGGGGAAGAAGGGTCCAGAAGGGATATTTAAAGAAGAAACAGTATAAGAAGCTAACGCATTTTAACACACATCAACCATGACACTAAGGCCAGAGTCATGACAGCCAGAGACCTCAGGTGCTGAGGCCAAAGCAGCAAGCCGAAAATGACTGACATCTGAATTAAAGATTGAAAGTTAATGTTCCTATGAGACAGCAAGGCCTCTCAGTTTCTCACTATCAGTGGGAACTGAGGCACGTGAATCGATTTGGCAGATAAACATTCTTCTTTTAAGCACAAAACGCTTTGATATTTTGGGAGAAAAAAAAGGAAGAGGAATTTTTCTAAAATTATAACTAATAGAATTTAGCCTGAATATACTCAGCAAGTTTAAGCAGTCATTATTAGATTGTTTGACAACTCAGAAATATCCTCAGGTACTAATGACACATTTGTAACTCTAATAAATGGCCCAGGTGAATGTAATATTTTCACAGACCTTCTCCTCTGCTATTGGTTGCCCCTCCTTGCTGCCGCCTGCCCTCTCATTACTCACGGCTACTATAAGGCTAAGTCTTCTTGAGATGTGGTTCACCAATAAAAGGAAACTTGGAATTTCTTCCTGGCTGCCTCGATCACCACAGCTCTCCTCCTAATTTCCATCTCTCATCTGCATTGGCTTCTCCTTGCCTCCCCTATCGGGGTGCCTGGCAGCATTCTGGGCTTCTGGTCTACCCGCCGCCTTAATCCCCTCTTGATTTCAGCTTGTGTGCCCATGCTCTGTTCCATATAGTTTTGTACCCACCTTTGCTCTCTGAGAAGAATCAACTTTCTAAGTAGGGTTGACCCATGACCCCAGGCCCTTTCTGCATCTTAGCCTCTCAGATTGACCTTAACCACTGACTTGAAGTCTCTAGCTAAGTCTAATCTATATCTATGCTCCAAGCCCTATAGGAAGGTCTCCCAATCAGAGTTCCCAATGCTATGGTGAAAACTGTGGCCCCCAGAAATCCTAAACCAATAGCTGTTCTTTAACTGCTGCCTTATTTTATTCGAAGTTGTCTAGTGGGACCCGGCAATGGCCGCCTTTCTTTAGAAATAAAGCAGAAAGGATTAGGACAGCAATTGGGTCCTTAGGTAACCTTCTCCTTTCAGGGCTGCAGACTATATTATAAATGCTTATCATTAATGATTTCAATGTATTCTGCATGAAACAATAACTCTAGGTTAAGAGGGGATCACTTTGTGCAGCTATCACTCACTCTCTTCTTTCTTTCCTGGAGTATCTGTGTACTTGTCAGCCACTGAACGTCTCTCTCTCTCTCTCTCTCTCTCTCTCTCTCTCTCTCTCTCTCTCTGCTCATTCTCAAAAATACCATTCACATCAAAATCATACATGCCCATATGTAGGATGAAAATAAAATATTAATGATATTAATATTTTTAAATAGTGAAGATATTGTTGACAATATTTTGTCCTGATGACATTAAAATATTTTTAAACAATTTTAAAATAATGCTTAGTGAACAAAGGCTTCGAAACAAGCTTTCTCTTTGTCAATCAAGGCTCACATTTCCTACTTCTTAAATTATTTCTACAAGGTATCAGTTGTAAGCACACAAATTTCTTACTTGCAGAAATGAATCTGTTTTAGTTCCAAAGTATGTGGAAATTCTTAAATGTTTTTATTTAATATAATGGAAAAAGAAGCCAGACATTTTAAAAGGTAGCTGCATCCAAACATAGGTTTTTATATTCTGGTCTCAAATATCCATGTCTATCTAAAATCTCCTATTAAACTTGAACTCTAAATTTCAGAAATGAACTTGCAAACTAGACAATACATTCCTGTATCCCTAGCTCTAACTTACCCTTTCTTAAGGTCACTTTTTAATTGGAATTTAAAAAAAAAGAAAAAAGAAAAATCCTACTATGACCATGTAAAAATCTCACCAGTTCCAAAAGTAAGTCAACATAATGGAATTTTTTTAATTTAACAGCAACAACACATAATGATTAGAGTTGGACTAAATCTGCTAGTGGAATGCTTATGTTATTCATGTTATGTTATGTCAGAAACTTTTTACTACAGAGACAGGATAATATTTTCTAAAAGGACTTGCCATTGAATCCTCTGGCCATTGGAGACCTTTAAAACACACGACAGGTAGCTATGTAGTATGTGCAGTACTTTCTAGTCAAAGCCAAACTCTCTCATTTATGTTATGCAGTTCATCCAAGAGAGACCCCCAATAAGTATTCATCGAATTAAGCTAAAGAAACATCAAAAACTGGATGATTTCTTGGCATCCATTCCAATTCTGTGTTCTATCATTCATTCAATAAGTATGCGTTAGAAACCACTGAGGTACCAATGAAACAGTAGGCTACCAAATGGTGCACACACACACACACACACACACACACACACTCACGTGCGTACAAATTACTACATTCATCAGATGGAGAAAGAAAAGCCAAACCAAGACCAACTACAGAAGATCCAGGCTTAGAAGAAATTTCGGAATGAGTATTTTTATGTATAACATATAAAACTTTGTATCACTTTGATGATGGCAGTCCAAAGATTTATAGGCATGAATCTTAATTCAAAATATGAAAAGCATGTGACTAAGTATGATAAAGAAAAGATTCTGGGAAGGTGGCACAGTACATTCGGTTAGGGAGGCTGGGTCTTAAGTACCGACTGCGACATTTAAGTTTTATCTAAAAGGCAAAAGGAGTCATTTAGACACTTCTAAAAAAAATTTTTTTTTCATAAGCAAAGCATTCAACACCAGTAAATTCCCAAATAGGCCAATACACAGACCTTCTCAGCTCTGTGAACATGTCTATGTGCGTCCAAATTAGTATATGAGTGAAGGTACAGATTTGTTTCTCATCAAAAAAAAAACAAATGAATCACCCCCAGACCATTAACTTTGGGCTGTTAATGTAGTCAGAGTATATACATTCATTTATACCAGCACCAGCTAATCATTCTCTATGTTAAAGAGAGAGAGAGAGCTCCTGGCCCCTGAAGATGATTCACAAAACCAATTATCTACTGAGAGATAATGGAATATTCACTGTGGCTTGGAAGCTACATCCCGGCCTTTGCAAAAGCCCTAGAGAATCACTCACACTTCACAATTACTGGATCAAGAATGATGTTATTCCTGAAATCGGGAGGGGTTACTAAGCCCTCAGTACATTTGCAAACGTGCCCGTCACATTCAAGAAATACTGTTTATTTAAATGCGCTAGAGTCCAGGGAAGTTGCGTACAGAAAACTCCATTGAAGAAATGCTGGCAATGTTGTTCCCACCGACATTCATCGCTACACCTTTTATTTTTTTGCCCTAAAATAGTTTTATATTGATCAGAAATAAAATACCATTTATTTTATTGGAGGACTGTCTTACCAGCCTCCCTTTAAAAAAGAAAAAAAAATCGCTCTTCAGGGAACCTTATTTTCAGTCAATTGGCAATGGAAAAGAGATTATGTGTCCATCAACTTCGGTTTTCCACTCAGGTT